CTATATAACATTATATAGTTTTCAGTTGATTGTACAGTTCTTCAGATTTACAAATGAAATTGAATTTTTATTTATTTTTACATGGAACTCTTAGGTCCTTCTCATTCAGCTTTTCTGTGTCCACATTCAGGAAACTTAGAACTAGTTTCTTAGAGGAGCCAGAGGACCCTTGTGAGGCCTGCCGATGGGCTTGATGACACATGCCTGTAGTTCCTGCTACTTGGAAAACTGAGGCATAAGGATCACCTGAACCCAGCAGATCGAGACTGTGGTGGCCATGAGCATGCCACTGTAGTCCAGCCTGGGAGACAGAGTGAGATTCCAACTCAAAAAAACAAAAAATTAAAAATAAATAAATAAATTGCTTGGGAATTCTCTTGGAGGTTGTCCATCACAGGTCCCTTCCGTTATGGAAATGTAAGAAGTAGTCTCAGAGTGGGGAGAAACATTTGTTTTGTGTAGCATCCTTCACCGTTAGGTTCAGGAGATCGGGGTAATTATATCAACAAAATACTTTTTAGCTTTCTTTTATTTTCTTGTATTTCAGTTGGCAGCTATGCAGTTTGACTCTCCTTTACATTCTTGTTTCACTAAGAGCTGTCCTTGACTTAGTTCTCAGGATCTAGAGGACTTTCACAGCACTGTTTTCCAAAAATGTGGTTATTGAAATAAGGCTTCTTTGAGATGCTCTACAATGAGAGGGTTCTATTGTTTTTGGAAAACTTTTTTTTTTTAACGGGGGAAAGGAGGCATTATTTGTTTGTGAGAGACAGGGTCTCACTGTGTTGCCCACACTGGACTCAAATTCCTGGACCCAAGCAAGCAGTCCTCACTCCTCAGCATCCCAAGTATCTAGGACTATAGGCATGCACCGCTGCACCCAGCTATTTTTGAAAACTTCTTTAAGTCATCTTTCTTCCTTTGGTGAATCACTGTACAAATTAGTATATGAGAAGTCCTTTTGAATAAACCAGTTTTCTTTGTTTGATCTAGTGTTTTTTAAAATGTACTTATCACAGAATCTCCATTTGTTAAGTAGAAGAAATTAAAAGCCCTTTTCTTTTTTTGAGTTGGAGTCTCACTCTCTTGCCCAGACTGGAGTGCCATGACACACTCAGTGGCCACCCCAGTGAGGACCTGCTGGCCTCCACAATCCTTCCGCCTCAACCTTCCAAGTAGCCAGAACTACAGGCACACGCTACCATGCCCGGCTAATTTTTTTGATTTTATTGTAGAGACGAGCTCTCCTCAAATTGCCCGGACTGGTATTGAACCTGCGGGTTCAGGCAATCTTGCCTCGGTCTCCCAAAGTGTTGGCATTACAGGCTGAGCCACCAAGCCCAGCCTAAAAACCCTTTTCTATAGTAGTAATTTGCCACAAATTTGTCCCTCTTTACTCACACCAAATCATTTAGGCGAATTTAAAGTCCATTACAGTGAATCATAGTAAGGAGTTGGTGTTGGATGACTAAGCTTTTCTGAGAGTGTCATGAGTTGAAAAGACCCACAAATATTGCTATATTGATAGTGATGTTTCATTGTACAGCAGAAACCAGTTTTTAAGCAGAGAAGCTTTGACTAATGAACCAGTATCCATGCTTATTTTCTTTACTCTAAGAAAAGACACTTATTAAAGATCTTTATAATCTTGCATGCATCTTTAATAACATTGGTTATTTGATTTTAAAACTCATAAATTAGGCAGTGCTGTGGGTGTTTTGGTTGTACACTGAAAAAGAATGTGCACTGATAATAACAGAAGAGATGTATAATAAATTTTGGATAAATAAGCATGCGAAATACGTAGCCGTTTTAGGGCATTTAGTATATGGGAAGAAAATCTTAAAGATCTCGGGTTTTTGTATGTTTTATTTATTACGAACATAAATGATGTTCATAACAGTAACCTTGAAAGATTCAGTTATGTCCAGGCAAACCTATCTAAGAAAATAAATATGGACAGTAGATTGTAAATTAAAATTACTTTTAAATTTTCAAAAGACTTTTTTGCATAGAGAGTTACTTTTATAGTTTCTCTGGAAAGCTTGTCTGTAAATGGCACATTCTTTAAAGATTATGGAGAGCTTTGGTTTCTATAATTGGAAAACAGCACTGCTAAAACTTTAAAGCACCTTATTTTTTTATTTTTTCTTTTTTTTCCTTTTTTATTACATTTATTAATCAGGAAACAAGTATTTGTGATCCTATAATATGGCAATCATTGTGTTGGGCATGTTTGCAAATTTCTATTCAAATATTATGTTGTGATGATTTCATTAGCAGCTAATATTTTGATTAATCAGATATGCTAAAGTATTTTATCAGTCTTTACACAGTATCATTCTAAAATATGTATTAAAATGTTTGCAATAATGTTATTGATGATTAATAAAGTTAAAAATGTGTTGACAAGCACCTAAAGATTATCTTAATAGTACACATATGTGCTTTTAAAGATTTAAAGTCTGAACTCCATAGATGTCAAAATGTAGTTAAAAGAAACAAGTTAATTCCATTAATTTCCCTGTGGGATTTTGCTAAAAGAAAAAATACTCATCACATTGGTGGTTAATATCGTCAGTATTTTGACTTTAACAAAATATCATTTGCAAGTTCACATTCCTATTATGTGGCAAAAAAACTGCATCCTGAAAAAGGCATACCTAAAACGTCATTGTTAGAGTACAGCAGGGACAGGGTGAGGGTGGAGAGGTGCAGGGAAGGCACACAGCATTGCTGGGGCTGGCAACCCGGAGGTGCACCCTCGGAACCTAGAGATCCGAGTAGATTGCAAAGAATTGGAACACACAAAAAGGTTAAGAAAGAAAAGTTTATTTAAAAGGAAATTAAAGAGAAAGTGAAGGAAGAAAGAAGATTCATCTCCCCAAGGTGGGGGAGGGGGACCAAAGCCAGGAAGCATGGCAACAGCCATGGCTCAAATAGCACATGGCCACACCAGACTCTGGCAAGGCAATGGCCGTATTTTTTATTTTTTTACTTTAAAGCACTTTAAACCCAGGCTGTTAATACATTATACAGGTTGAGCATTCCAAATCTAAAAATCCAAAATACTCCAGAATCTGAAAACTTTTGACACTCAAATTTAATATTTATTGGAGTATTTTTTATTTTGGATTTTCAGATTTGAGATGCTCAATGGTACATCTGAAAAATCTGAACACGGTGCCAAGCATTTTAGTTAAGGGTTACCCAGCCTGTAACTTCAGTAGAGTAGCTCTGAAGTCTTAAAAGAAATGGATGTTTTCTAGGTAGCCAACTGCTCTTCATAACTGTTTTACAGCATTAGTGTTGAGATTTTTTTCATGTTGAAGAAATCTCTCTGTTTTGTGCACTGAAATTTCAAAGCTATTTTTTAAATGTAAGATTAGCCATCATGCAAAACTTACTGGTCAAGCAGTTAATAAAATATGTTAAGCGTCCCGTTGAAGTGTTTTATATTTTTCAGTTCTTGCAATTGACAAAGCAGTTTTAAACCCTACCCAGGTTCCTTTGCTTCTTAAAGCTGCCAGTCCTGGCCTTTAAGGGGCTCATGTGTTAAAAATTCTGGAATCTCGTTTAGCTGTATAGCTTGAGCCTCAGGCTGATCTTCCTCGTCTTCCTTGGTTTTCTTGTATTTAAAAAACAAGTCAGACTTTAAGAAGCAGTTGTAGCTGTTTTACTTCATGAGATTGAAATTCTCGTCCTGGAGTTTCCAGAATGTCAGAGGACATGGTTCTTCTAAGATCTTTTCATTGAGCTGAGACTGCCTCTCCACATTAACTTGTGACAAGGCCTTACTGGACAGAAAGTTCATGTAGATCTCTTTTGCCTTTTTTCTGCAACTCCTGATCTTTTGGTTTTTAAAAAATCTTCACATGCTAGCCAAAACAAAATATTTTCTTCACTGAATTGCTTTTCAAAAAATTTCCTAAATTTTTTCATGCCTTCTGGCTCCTTCAGCAGTCTCTCCAGGGAAGCAACACCTTTGGTTATTCTCTTGAGGCTCTGGTGGTGGCTGCTGGAACTACTTCACTGTTGTGGATGTATTTACTGGTTTATTATAAATAGGATATTTAGTGGATACAGGTGAAGAGATGCATAAGACAAGGCATGAGAGAAGAGATCTAGAGGTTCCATGCTGTCTCTGGGCACACTACACTGCAGAAACCTTCACGTGTTCAGCTATTTGGAATCTCCAGTGTTGATTTTTTTTTTTTTCTTTTTCTGAATCAGAGTCTCACTCTGCCCAGACTGGAGTGCTGTAGCATAATCACGATTCATTACAACTTCAACCTCCTGGACTCAGGCAATCTTTCCACCTCAGCCTTTTGCGTAGCTGGGACTACAGGCACATGCCACCAACTAATTTTTTTTAAAGTTTTTATAGAGGTCTCACTGTGTTGCCTAGGCTGTTCTCAAACTCCTAGGCTCAAGCACTCCTCTTGCCTAGGCCTCTCAAAGTGCTGGGATTACAGGTGTGAACCACTGTGCCTGGCCTTTGTTTTTGTTTTGAAGTCGAAGTCTCACTCCATTGCCCAGATTGGAGTGCAGAAGCATGATCACGGCTTACTGCAGCCTAGACCACCTGGGCTTAGGCTATCCATTTGCCTCAGCCTCTCAAGTAGCTGGAACTACAGGTGAGTGCCAGCATGCCTGGATAATTTTTTGAATTTTTGTAGAGATGAGGTCTCCCTCCGTTGCCCAGGCTGGTCTCCAACTCCTGAGCTGAAGTGATTCTCCCAAAGTGTTGAGATTTTTAGGCATGGACAACCATATCTGGCCTGAAATATTTTGACAGGTTGTGAATTATAGAATTGACTATTCAAAGTTTGAGAATTCGGTATATAAAAATATATAGAATATATAAGGGGCCTGTAAAGAAAAAGGTATGAACATTTAGAGGACGTATAATAAATTTCAGACTATAGGAGAATAATATCAGCGACAGCTAAAGGAAATTGTGTGTTTAAGTACAAATTATTATTGATGTTCTTTTCTAGAAACGGCTACAGAAAGAACTGTTGGCTTTGCAAAATGACCCACCTCCTGGGATGACTTTAAATGAAAAGAGTGTTCAAAATTCAATTACACAGTAAGTCATTTTTTTGGTTTTATTTTAAGGATGAGGAGTACAATTCAGGATTAGGTAGTTAAGTGGTCATTTTACAAGTAAAGTATGGGCCTCTCTTTGGTCTCTGCTTTATCTGACTTGAGATCAGGTATCCTTATTGTTATGTGACTCTTCCCCCCCCCCCCCCCCCCCTTGGCAGTGTCCTGCTATTGCCAGTCCCTTTCTTGCAGTGTTATGATAAATGCTCAGGGTCCACTTATGAGTGAGAACATGTGGTACTCGGTTCTTTATTTCTGTGTTAGATAACTGAGTATTATAGACTCTCAATCTTTCCAAGTTGCTGCAAAGTCCATAATTTTGTCCTTCTTTATGACTGCATAATATTCCATTGTGTGTATGTACATATTTTTAATTCAGTCCACTTAATTTTTAAAGTACTTTTTTATTACATTTTATTCCATTCTCTTATACCAAGAGGTAAATACAGTACACAGATCTTATTCTCTGCATTTATATACAATCAATTTTGTTTTACATTCTTCCTTTTATTGTTAGCATTCTTCCTTTTATTTTTTTTGCGTCAAGGTCTCATTCGGGTCATCCAGGCTGGAGTGCCATGGTACAATAATAGCTCACCACAGCCTCAACCTCCTGAGCTCAGGCAATCCTTCTGCATTAGCCTCCCGAGTAGCTGGGACTACAGGCATATGCCACCTTGCCTGGCTAATTTTTTTAAAATATTTTTTTGTAAAGATGAGGTCTCCCTGTGTTGTGTAGGCTGGTCTCGAATTCCTGGGCTCAAGCAATCCCCCGCCTCAGCCTCCATTGTGTAATTTGTAAAGCTTCTTCTTTTGTTTTTAAAACTGTATCTTTGGTTAGTAAGATTTTTTTGTTTTTCAGTGTTTTGCTTAATAGGAGAGCATTTCAACATTTTGGTCAGACTTTGTTTTTTTTATATGATCCTCATCTATGATAGAGCCATTTGGTATGAAATTATTTATAAAATTAAAAAAATATATATTTAGGACTTTGAGGAAAATAGCAGCCAAGAGGTATCCCATTCCCTAAACATAGTTGTATCCTGTATAGAAGGGTAACTAAATGAAAATCTGACTCAGCAATCTTATTAAATAGATAAGAAACTTTTCCATGAGGATAAAAAAGTGAGGGGTAGGAGGAAGACAGGGAGTAGAGTAGAAGGCCCTTCCTGGATGTGTCAAGAAGAGGAGAGATAGAAGGGTCCCCTTTCTTAAAAATGAACATGTGAGTTAGTTAGAAATGTTTTTTGAAATATTCTTCTAAGAGCTCAGCAATCAGTATAGTTGATCCTGCTCACTTTTTTGATTTAATAATTTTGTTAGACAATAGTAAATGATCTAAAATAGGGAGGAAATTTAAAATTAAACCTCACTTTAAAAAAATCTCTAAAAACAAAAGGAAAAAAAGCCAATAAGATAAAAGTTTCCAGCTTGTAGGACAAATGGCCCAGTTCAGATATTTAGAATATTCTAGGTCTAGAGGTTATTCTAGATAAAAGTGACCAAAATGTATATGACTTATCCTTTCAGGAGAAGCTATTGTGATTACCTTTGACATTTGAGTTAGTACCTAAAACAGCAGTCAGTTCTTTAAGAATACAAATATTAAGAATGGATATAGTGACTCTTTTGAAAATGTAATACAAATCTTTAGCTCTATAACAGTTTCTTTAAAACATTGCTGGGTGGGCGCGTTGGCTCAGAGGCCAAGGTGAGAGGATTGTCTTGAAACCGGCGGTTTGAGACCAGCCTGGGCAATTTGGTGAGAAATCGTCTCTACACTAAATCAAAAACTAAGTCAGGCGTGGTAGCACGTGCCTATAGTTCTAGCTACTTGGAAGGCTTAGGCGGAAGGATTGCCTAAGCCCAGCAGGTCGAGACTGCGGTGGATGTGAGCATGCCACTGCACTCCAGCGTGGATGACAGAGTGAGACTTCAACTCAAAAAAATAAAAATAAAATAAAACATTGCTGAGGCCTGGTGCAGTGGCTCAAGCCTGTAATCCCAGCACTTTGGGAGGCCAAGGCGAGAGGACTGCCCGAGCCCACGGGTTTAAGACCAGCCTGGACAACTTGGTGAGCCCTCGTCTCTACAGTAAATCAAATAATTAGCTGGGCGTGATGGCATGCACCTCTAGTTCCAGCTACTTGGAAGACTGAGGCGGAAGGATCACCTTAGCCCAGCAGGTCAAAGCTGTAGTGGCTGTTAATGTGCCACTGCACTCCATCCTGGGCGACAGAGTGAGACTCAAAAAATAAAAAATTTAAAAGATAAAACATTGCTGAGCTCTAAATTGATTTTTCATTTATATCATACAAAATTTGAAACTGCTATTCTAAAACAACCAAAAATGGAGCACACATTTAGAGTATTTGGCATTTGTTTTGTATAATGAAACAAAATGGAACTCCGTCTGACTTTTTTTACCCTGGTACTGATTATATCCCATTTTCATCTTTTTCCTGTCTCCTTTGAACTTACCTCAGAATATCCTATAACAGATAGCCCTATTGTTCTCAAGGAAGTTTATAATGATGAGATTGCTTCCTCTTTCAACTTTTACTTTTTTGGGGAAAGATGGTGAAGCCAACACAACACAATAGTTTATAAAAGCTAAAGGAATGTTTAAATATTTTTGTAATAATAGATTACAAAATATTTTTATAGATTATCAAGTAGTTATACCACAAATTATAAGTGACAAAGCAGTAATATCTTTGCTACAAAATAAATCCTGTCATTTAGAGAGATTAGTCAGGCAAGAATTTTTCTTTTAGAATAATTTGTTATAAATAAACTATAAAATTTTTTAATTATCTTTGAACCATTTTCCAGGATATGAAAATAGTCTTATAAAAAATCAGGGCCAGGCATGGTGGCTCATGCTCATAATCTGAGCAGTTTGGAAGTCTGAGGCAGGAGGATCGCTTTGAGACCAACCTGGGTAACATAGTGAGACCCTGTCTCTAAAAATAAATAAATTAGCCAGTGTTGGTGGTGTGCTTCTATAGTTCCTGCTACTCTGGAACTACTCAAGTAGATCACTTGAGTCCAGGAGTTCGAAGTTACAGTGAACTATGGTCATGCCACTGCACTCCAGCCTGGGTGACAGAGTAAGACTCTGTCTCTTAAAAGAAAAATAAAAATAATGAGATTGTTAAAATAGGATTCTGTGGAATGTGGTTATGGATATGGAAGATGCATAAAGATAATGGAAGTGGCTGGGCGTGATGGCTCTGCCTGTAATCCCAGCACTTTGGGAGGCATAGGTGAGAGGATCGCCTTGAGACCACAGGTTCAAGACCAGCCTAGGCAACATGGCGAGACATTGTCTCTACAATACATCAAAAAGTTAGCCATGCATAGTGGTGTACGCCTGTAGGTTCTAAGAAGGCTGAAACAGAAAGATTGCCTTAGCCCAGCAGGTGGAAGCTGCAGTGGAGTGAGACTCTGACTCCAAAAATAAAAAAATAAAAAAGAAAGATGATGAAAGCTCATTAAGCTGCTTTCTGGAAGACAGTCTAGTAGTGTGTATTTAGTAAATATACACCTAACACCATCCGAAGAAGGAATAGAGGGATACAAAAAGATTGACTTAGAACTTTTAGAACTGATTGAGAAATTTAGAACTTAGTAACTGTACTCATTTCAACAATACTAATTCTTGAGATAATTTGTGCTGTGAAATGGCATCACTTGAATTACAGTCTGTAGTCAGCATATGAGGCAAAAATTTTGTATAGTCATAATTTTCCTTTGAAATCCTTCAGAAAGACTATATTTGTACATATCTTGTCTTAATAAATCCACCAAAGCCAGTTTTTCCTCTAGAGTGGAATTGATGGGTTTCTTTGATTAGAAGCTATGATATGTGAAATTTAAATTTAAAACTGAGACTGACTGAGAGACCAGTGCATGTACTTCTCCCATCTCATCCTTACTCTGGGGCATGTGTTCATGATTGGAATCATAAACACTGATGGCTTGAATGTGTGTAATTTAAGTGTGCACATAATGCAACTACTAGACTTCTGTTTCATGTAGGCATCAGTAATACAGTAAACCACAAAATAACCCAAATGAATTGCACCCCTCAAAACTTTAACAGTGGTTATTGCTAAGTGATTTTTATTTTATTTATACTTGTCAAAATTTTTTTCTTTTCTTTGAGTAGGGATCTCATTCTGTCACCCAGGCTGCAGTGCAGTGGCATGCTCATGGCCACCACAGCCTCAACCTGCTGGGCTCAGGTGATCCTTCTGCCTCAGCCTTCCAGGTAGCTGGAACCACAGGTACACACTACCACAACCCGCTAATTTTTTGATTTATTGTAGAGATGAGGTCTCACCAAGTTGCCCAGACTGATCTCAAACCCCTGGACTCAGGCAATACTCTCACCTCGGCCTCCCAAAGTACTCGGATTACAGGCATGAACCACTGGCCCAGCACTTATCAGAATTTTCTACAGTGAACATAATGTTTTTTTTTAACTAATAAAAGTTACTGAAAATTACTATCCACAATGTTGAAAATTATGCCTTCTTTAACCTATGTCATGCAGATATTACAAGAATTAATGAGATATTTGCTTAGCTCTTATTTTAAAAGCTGTGCTTGTATAAATCATATGTAAATTTATGGTATGTTGTGTGTCCTAAATTATAAACAGGATGAAGGACATCATTTTTCCTTGGATTATCTCTCTGCTAATTGATACAGGGGAAAATATTTTTTAAAAAGGAATTTTGAAGGTTAAGAAGGACCTAGTATATTTTTTTAAATAGGCCTTTTTTTGTTTTGTATGCAGCTTTTTGCATTGTGTTTAATTTATTGTGTATTGGCTCTGAGTCAGGAATGTCCTAAATTTATTGCATATATAGTGTAATCTCAGCTATTATGAGATGATTATCTATATATTTGAGGTACTTAAAACCGAAGAAGTAAAATAGCTTTCTCACGCAGCTAGTTTTAGTGGGTTAACTATAATGGCCACTTTACTATAACTTCTTGACTTAACTGTAGTTATAACTATAACGTTCTAATTTCACTGTAGCTTTATCTTTTGGGTCTGGGGTGATATCTTCTATTACTATGTATGGTACTTGTTATTCTGAAAATGAACAGCCATGATTTTAAGAATTTGTATACTTTAGCTGATTTCTTTCAGAGAATAGGCACATTTATTATTTTATATACCCCTAAGTTCATAGTATGTGTGATGATGACTAGAACCTCAGCACTGTGTTTTCTATTTTCCTTTGTTTTTTGTGTGTTTTAAATAGAAGAAAGTTTTATATCTTAAAAGTATAAGATCATCCAGGTGCAGTGGCTCATGCCTGGGAGGCAGAGGCGAGTGGATTACCTGAACCCACAGGTGCGAGATCAGCCTGGGCAACTTAGCATGACCTCATCTCTACAATTAACCAAAAAATTAGCCGGGTGTGGTGGTGCACACCTGTAGTTCCAGCTACTTGGAAGACTGAGGCAGAAGTATCGCCTGAGCCCAGCAGGTTGAGGCTGTAGTGGCCGTGAGTATGCTGCTGTACTCCAGCCTGGGTGATAGTGTGAGACTCCAACTCAAAATAAAAAAACTGTAAGATCGAGGGAATTGGCCAGATGTAAGTAATTATAAGTGACAGAGCTATAATCAGGAACATCAGTTCATTTTTGCTTCTAAATGCTGTCCCATCATCATTGGGCTTATGGTTTGTTATCATTATCCCCTATTCTTTTTTTTTTTTTTTTTTTGAGTTGGAGTCTCACTCTGTCACCCAGACTGGAGTTCAATGGCAACTCCCAGCCACCGCAGCCTTGACCTGCTGGGCTCCGGCGAATCTTTCGCCTAAGCCTTCCAAGTAGCTGGAACTAGAGGTGTGCACCACCACGCCCGGCTAATTTTTTTTTTTAATTTATTGTAGAGATGAGGGTTTGCCAAGTTGCCCAGGTGGGTCTCGAACCCGTGGGCTCAGGCAATCCACTCACCTCAGCCTCCCAAAGCGCAGGATTACAGGCTGAGCCACCGAGCCTGGCTATCCCCTATTCTTTTAAAGAAAATAACAAGGGATAGTATATAGAATATAACTAAAAACAAGGTGGATGCAGTGGTTCACGCCTGTAATCCCAGCACTTTGGGAGGCCCAAGGCAAGAGGATTGCCTGAGCCCAGGAGCTTGAGACCAGCCTGGGCAATATGGCGAGACCTTGTCTTTACAATAAATTTAAAAATTAGCCAGGCATGGTGGTGTGCTCCAGTTATCCCAGCTATTTATTTACTTATTTGAGTTGGAGTCTCACTCTGTCGCCCAGACTGGAGTGCAGTGGCACGCTCCCGGCCACCACAGCCTCAACCTGCTGGGCTCCAGCTGTCCTTCTGCCTCAGCCTTCCAGGTAGCTGGAACTACAGGTGTGCACTACCACGCCTGGCTGATTTTTTGTTTTATTGTAGAGATAAGGTCTCGCCAGTTATACTAGCTATTTAAAAGGCTGAGGCGGAACAATTGTCTGGGCACAGCAGGCCGAGGCTGCGGTAGCCAAGATCGTGTCTCTGCGCTCCAACATGGGCAACAGAGACTCCAACTCTAAATCAGTCAGTCAATCAGATTTATATTTGTGATTGTTATACATGAGAATGAAAACAAAATAAGGTTGCAGAGATACCATAGAAATATATTCTGTGCTTTATTAAACAATTGAAACATAGTGAGAAATAGAAAGTATAGAGCTTTGCTTAACCATTAGAGTACATGAACTGGTGTCAGCTTAGCTTCCCTTTCCGTTTAGTCTTCTCTAGAGTATTCACGGGAAAATAGGTCTGACACTATAATCATTGTCAATACCTATTTTCCCATTGCTTCAACCATTAGTATCAGAAAGGCAGTTGATTAGTTTGATGTATTATTTTATGTTATGTTATATGTGTTTGTTAAGTGTTTTGTTATATGTTTGAGACAGGGTCTTATTCTGTTGCCCAGGCTGGAGTACAGTGGTATATTTGAATATTTGGGCTCAGGTGATCCTCCCACTTTAGCCTCCTGAGTAACTGGGACCACAGACACATGCCACCACATCCAGCTAATTTTAGTTTGATATTTTATATGTTTTTTTCAGTCATTGTAGAAGTAGTCTTTTGAAAAAATAATAAATTATAAATCAAGTAGGAAGTACACAGACTTTGGTGTCAACACACCTGAGTTTGGGTTTTTATTTTGTTTGTTTTATCAAACCTGGTTTAAAATTTAGCTCTGTTCTTACTAGCTGTCTGACCTTGATCTAGTTATTTGACTCCGAATGTCAGAGAAGGGAATAGGGAAGGAGGTGTTAATAATCACATTAAGTGTTGTTGGGAGGATGGTGTGTGCTGTTACACATAAACAACTCTTGTCCCAGTGCCTGCCATAGAGGAAGTACTCAGAGTTCCTTTTCTCCTTCTGAACTCAGTCCCTTTTATCTTAAGTTGTTAATTTGTTTTTTCTATTCTAGGTGGATTGTAGACATGGAAGGTGCACCAGGTACCTTATATGAAGGGGAAAAATTTCAACTTCTATTTAAATTTAGTAGTCGATATCCTTTTGACTCTCCTCAGGTAATTGCCTTGCTTTTTCAAATTTTATTGTGTTTTTAGGTAGCAAAATGTTAAATTAGCAATTTTTTACTAAGCAAAATTGTATGAAATAAAATAATTATAAATAAGTAGATGAATTTGTTCTTTCATTACCTTGTTTGTAATACAATCAAGATATTATGAACATTTTACTTTATTGGGATTAGGGCATTGTTGCCTTTGCGCATCTAAGAACTTAAAATTGTTAGCAGAAAAGACACAGAAATCTAACCAGATCTCAAAGAAGTTAGCATTTTGGAATAACTGGAGGCACTTTTTCCTGGATAAGTGATAGAATGACACAGGGAAGAGACTAGTGCTCTGTTGGGAATACATCTTTGATTTTGCATTGACATGCTATCTTTGTCGCCTGTTAGTACTGCAAGGACAGAGTACATTACCAGATATTAAATATCTAGACATAGTCCCAAATCTGATCATTATAATTTGACACACAGTCAGTTTAGCTAATGGCTTAATACTTAGACAAAGGATAATGATGGTAGAGTAACATTTTTGGGAGCTGTTTAACTATGGTAAATGACTTATCAGAGGTTAGAGAACGAAAGACTCTATAACTCCCAGGTTTCTCCAACTTGGTAAAATTGATAAATGAATCATTAGAATTACTTATTCTTCAGAGAATTATTATAACAAAGTACCCTATTTTTAAAATTTGAGGATTGTGAGATTTGTTGGCTAAAATGAGAAAACTTAACACTAACTTTCTCTAGTACTGCTAAGTAGTGAGGTAAATGAACCAGATAACTGAAATATTTCCCAGATACTGGAAATTCAACTTGTTAGGTGCCAAAATGTGCTATCTTAAGGAAAAATCCTATTTAAACAGAATGCCAAACATAGCTTAATCTTTTCTTGGCCCTGTAGCAGAAGAGATAGAAGTCAGCTGTCATATTGTGCCGTAGGTAAAGAGGCAATTATTTTAAAGCATAGATTTAAATGAATACTGACTCCTTAAGTTCTAAAATGTTCATGTGAGCCAAAAACTGTCAAGACTTTTGGGACTTACTTTTATCATTTTCATGAAAATAAAAGTGAAGGAGCCGGGCTCAGTGGCTCAGCCTGTAATCCCAACACTTTGGGAGGCCGAGGTGAGTGGATTGCCTGAACCGTGGGTTCGAGACCCGCCTGGACAACTTGGCGAGACCTTATCTCTACAATAAAATTTAAAAAATTAGCCGGGCGTGGTAGCACACACCTGTAGTTCCAGCTACTTGGAAGGATGAGGCAGAAGGATCACCGGAGCCCATCAGGTCGAGGCTGCAGTGGCCGGGAGCGTGTCACTGCACTCCAGTCTGGGTGACAGAGTGAGACTCCAGCTCAAAAAAAAAAAGTGAAGGAATATATATTGTCATGACCTTTGGGTGTCTATAATAAGCCTCTGTAGACTATAATGAAAAGCCATACCAAACATCTTCTCTTCAGAAAATTACCTTCACTTTCTCTTGTCGCCTTGTGACTTGTCAGCATCATTTCTGAATATTAATACATGAAGGCAGTGGGGTGTCAGGTATCTATCACCTTGTCACCTTCAGTCTATTCATTTACATTATTTCAACCATTTGTTGAAGAAAGATTATAACACACCAACTCGGAAGGTTTTGACTAGGGGGATATTGGGGGGGGGCTTACTCTGAGAGGTCACAAATTTTTCCTTTTTTTTTTTTGAGTTGGAGTCTCACTCTGTCACCCAGACTGGAGTGTAGTGGCTGCTCTCAGCCACTGCGGCCTCAACCTGCTTAGCTCTGGTGATCCTTCCGCCTCAGCCTTCCAAGTAGCTGGAACTACAGGTGCACACTACCATGCCCAGCTAATTTTTGATTTATTGTAGAGTTGAGGTCTCACCAAGTTCCCCGGGCGGGTCTCAGACCCGCGGGCTCAGGCAATCCATTCACCTTGGCCTCCCAAAGCGCTGGGATTACAGGCTGAGCCACCGAGCCCGGCCCACAAATTTTTCATCAGAGGAAAATACTATTTCTGTAAACGTGAAACCAGATCAAGAAGTGTTTCCTAAACTCTTTCCTTAGTATTAATTCTAAGTACATATCAAACTTAAATACAATTTTGAATTTTATCTTTAATATTTTGTTTTTGTATTTTTGTTGTTGTTGTTTTTTTTTTTGAGTCAGAGTCTCACTTTGTTGCCCAGGCTGAAGTGCAGTGGCCTGCTGCTTATGGCCACCGTTGCATCTACCTGCTGGGCTCAGGCGATCCCTCTACCTCATCCTTTCAAGTAGCTGGAACTACAGGCATGCGCCACCATGCCCAGCTAATTTTTTGATTTATTGTAGAGACAAGATCTTGCTGTATTGCCCAGGTTAGTCTCAAACCCACAGGCTCAGGCAGTCCTCTGTGCTCCACCTCCCAAAGTGCTGGGATTACAGGCATGAGCCACTGTGCCTGACTCCCTTACTGTTCTCACTTTGTTTTCATCTTCAGTCATTTTAAGCAATAGACTCTCAGATCTACAGCTCTGGATACATCTCTTTTTTTTTCCTAAGGTTTAATTCCAAACCCTTTTTGGACATATCTACTTGAATGCCTTCAGACATCTTGAATTTAACACATCTAAACTCAACCCTTTCAAATAAGAAAGTAAGGAACTTTTTTCTTTATCCTGGATTACTGTCCACCCATCTGCTTTGTGCTAAATTCTTCTCTTTCTCACCTACATGCAGTTTTTCAAATCCTTTTGTAGTGCTTAAGGTAGTCTACTCCTTCCTGTCTGTTGATACTGTAGTCCAGGTTTTTATCTTTTAGTTGACTGTTGGAGTAGCCTTTAGTTCTTTTGGCTCCTATGCGTCCTTTCACAATGCCCTTAGATTTCTTTGAAGACAGAGTTATCTCACTGGTTTCTCACACCCCCCACACACACACCCCCACACTCCCACACCCCACCACCCCCAGTATCTCCCAACTCCAGCAGGTTCTTTATTTCCTGTGTAATCAAAGCTTTTAGCCCGGCATGCAAGTCCCTTGATCACAATCAGACTTAACTATTTCTACACATATTATCTCCATGCATTCTGTACAGTAATGTTTGTGTCTGATTCCTTTTTTTTTTTTTTTTTTGAGTCTGAGTCTCACTCTGTTGCCCAGGCTGGAGTACAGTGGCACGCTCATGGCCACTGCAGCCTCAACCTGCTGGACTCAAGCAATCCTTCTGCCTCAGCCTTCCAAGTAGCTGGAACTACAGGTGGCATACACCACCATGCCCAACTAATTTTTTTGTTTATTGTAGAGATGAGGTCTCACCATGTTGCCCAAGCTGGTCTCGAACCTGTGGGCTCAGGCAGTCCTCTTTCCTTTGCCTCCCAATGTGCTGGGATTACAAGGATGAGCCATCATGCCCAGTCTGTGTCTTATTTCATCATTTAACTTCCATTCTCATTTCATCTTCTAACAGCTCTTAATAGAATGGTTAGGGAAGGTAGATTCATCCTCATTTATAAGTGAAGACATTAAAGCTTATAGAAGTGAAGTGTCCTGTTTATGTTTTAATAGCTAGGTAGAACAGTCAAGACTCTCTCTCCCTATGCCATCCTGCCAGTTAGGAATGAGTACCAGAATGGGAGAAGTGCCAATGTGTCCATGTAGTAATTGTCTCTCTGAAAGTGAAAGATTATATGTGGAGTGAATGATACCTTTGAAAGCTCTAGGGGCAGTTGTTCTTACTCTTGGATCATGAGGATTTCTTTTTAACCAGTTAATTTTGTGGTCCCTCCCATGTCGTAGAAGGTATATATTCTAATATCCATCAATTGAGAAAATGACAAAATTACTCGGGGACCAATAATACCTTTAAATTATTTTTAAAATTTATTTATCACATTGTATGCTTTAAAAATAATTATAATGGTTCCAACAATCAATCCTTAATGTGCTTATATAGATTTTAAGATTTTTCCAATAACTGAGACTTTCCAGAGGTTCGTTGCTCTAAAGAAGTGGTTGGAACCGGTCCTTCAGGGTATTAAAATTCCTTATTCACCAAATATTTCATTTGTTGAAACTCTGTAGCATTGACACTTGTTAGATCAATTACTCTTTCCTCTTTCTACTCGTAAGCAGTACTGAATTTATCACTACTTGGGAAATATCCCTAAAATAGACCAATCTCATTGTGAAATTACTACTATTTTGTACCTGTAAATGAGACTATTACCTATCAATTATAATTAATTTCTCAGGTTAGTTCAATTTACTGTGAAAAAGTTATCTAATATATGTCATTAGTCATTTGCTTTTTAAAAAAAGAGCAAAAAGATTTTCAGTAAATATGGAAGCAGAGATGCTTCTCCTTTTCATCAGTTTTCCACTAATGTGCATTTACTGTCAGCCATTTATGTCTTTCCATATATATTCTGTTTTCCTATGTTAGGATGCAGGTAAATGGTTGGTTAACATGTATTGAGCAATATGTGTGCCAAATACTGTTTTTACTTGTGAGATGGGAGAGAGAACAGAGACTAAAAAGGCATTGGATCTGCCTTTAAGCAGCTCATAATCTGTTTAGTATTTGGATAGGTAGACATTTATTCATTCATTCTGATTTTGTTGAGCTTATATCATGGCATGGACACTGGGCCAGGTGCTGGTGATTCAGTAATGACCAAAACTGCAACAACAGAAGTCCTGCTTATGTGGAGTTTGCATTCGTGTAGGGAGAGACAAAGTAAAGTGCATGTTGTATGGAAGGCTGTGGGGGGAAAGTAGAGAAGAGAAATGAGGGCGTTGAAATATTGGCTGGAGTGGTTGGGAAAAGTTTCACTGAGAGGAAAAGTTTCATTGGAGGAAAGACCTGAAAGATGTGGTGAGTAAGCCATGTGAAAGAGATAAGAGAAAGAACAGGTGAAGACAAAATGCAAAGGCCCTGCATCTGGAACATGCAGAGTGGGTCCCTGGAGTGGTGTATGAACAAGAGTAGGAATGTAGGGCATAGGTCAGAAAGCGATCATTTGGAATGATGGGGTCATCACAGATTGTATGGGACATTTATA